TTGGGGGTAAAATATGTTTCAACAATTGAACACAAACACCCACTTGTGAAAAGGAACTTTACCTCTAGCTGAACCACTCAATACAGAAATTGATAACCTGCAGTTTAGAAGCGTACTAAGCAGAAAACAGCACATAATAGTCCTACAAATGTAAAACAGACATACTAATGCTGACCCAATTTACCTGCAATTTTAGCAATTACTTTTCCCCCCTTCTACTGTTGCTTTAAATTCATGTTCGGCAAGATGGCAAAGATCCAGAAGTTTCCTCTTTCAAGCTGCATCTTACAATACTTAGTCCTCGCACTCTGATAGATACAGAATTCCCAGGCTCCGGATTGAGATTAGAAACAGAGTCCTAATTTACTGACAACTTCTCTTCCGACATGAAATGCTTGATCTCACATCACTGGAATCTAAAGGGGAATGCAATATGGATAACGTATCTGTACAAACGAGAGTCTGTCTCTTGGTAGGAGTGTTTTGGAGGAGGAGGAGAAGGAGGAGTAAAGCAGCGTTCATTAGAATTCTCTACAAAGTATTTTAAATGGCTCGTGATTTATTGCTAGATCGGATGAAAACGATTCATCTCATATTACCAGAGTACAGAATCTACTCTGGGAAGTATGCATAACAAATTATGGTTTTATCAAGAAAATGGCTGTTATATTTGCCTTAAATAATATTTAATAAATATATATAAATAAATCTTAAGGTTATCAAATGCAAGGATTATTATTAAATGTTCAGAAGAGCCTTAAATGTTCAGAAATTGTTTTATTTCATGAAGCAGGTCAGAAATACAAATAGAAAGTCCCACACAGTGTGCAAATTTGTATCTAAAATTCAGCAGAAATCAGATTTTGGTTGCTGCTTCACAATTCAAACTTTTAAAGAATAAAGATGCGAACTGCATTCACTGAATGGGGTGAAGAAGCGGTGAGTAAAATGCCCCAATCTACTAACCTTTCCATCTCAGCAAGTCACTATGAGACCAAACAGCTCTCTATGGGGACAGGGAAGTACAGAGGAAAGTTAATACCGGCTGTTTTGTCATACTCTTTTGCAGCTGGTTTAGAGCTCTCAAGTGGTGGAGTAAACCAGGAAGAAAAATAGACTTTTTGTTAAAAAAGAGAAAAGCACTCCAGACCAAAATTTAAAGAACTAAGGCATTATAATAAACAATCCTTGTATTTGATAGTTATGCGCATTGACTGTATTGGTAGATAAACGCGACAGCTAATTTACACACATCTAAGCCCCGCAGCCATGAACTAAATGATCAAATTTATCTGTAGGATTGTTGGCCAGGACGCTGGGAGAAACTCCCTTCTCTTTTTGAATACTGTTATGGGAATTTTACCTCGCACCTGAACATGAAGATGGGACCTCCGTTTAATGTGTTATCCAAAGGAAGATACCTAAGACAATACAATACTTCCCCAGCACAACACCAGAGTGTCAGCTGAGATTGTGAGCTCAACTTGGACCTACAATCTTCTAATCAAGAGGCAAGATTTTACATAGCGTTACATAAAGTGATACCACATGGAAAAAGGCCCTTCAGACAGAATTAATCATTCAGCCCCACGTGTCCTTGCTGAGTTTCTATAGTTCTGCACACGAGTTCCCACCCATTTCTAAAAGTCTAGGTTTAGACTAAGAACAACACTGTTGCATAGACATAAAACGTTCGCGGCCACAATTCCTCACACAGTACCTAAGCAATTTTGTGCTGGGAGGCTTATTGAAATCTTAGGCTCCATTTAGTTTACATAAACAATTAAGGAGCACACAATACTGTCGTTATAATCGTTTACCATTGATTAGTCATAATGTAAATGAGCTATTTCTCATTATCTGGTTGTTAATAATTATGCAACTGGTTTCCACAGTTGCATAATTATTAACCACCAGTTAAAAGAACCCATGGATAACTCAACAAAAGCTGAATTCACTTAGCATTTAAAAAAGTTATATGAATTTGTCTACCTTTTCAAGAAATGTGCAGAGAAATAGTAAAAGCTTTTCAATATAAAAGCCTATCTGACGGCTATAATTTCTAAATCTGTTATGAATGGCAATCCGACATAATAAATGCACATGTAAGCAGAAGTCTAAAGGAAGAGAAATGTAATACAAAACCCATCTTTACACAAGACTAGAAGTTGAGAGCTTTCATTTTGTACACCCATACTTGATTCTCCCTGAAATACAAACGCAGGGGTTCTGTGTTTCCGAGGTGGGGCGGGGGGATGGGGGAGAGAGAAAGGAGGCAAAACTTTTGCTGGTAACATTATGTAGGAATTCACTGTGTAAATCATTTAGCTTTTTTGATATAATAAAGCAATACATCTAATGCATATATTATTGTAGACTTGTTCCCATCAAAGACATCTGCCAGCCTAAAGTCTGTAAGCTCCTGGCCTTTTCAGTACTCCATTACTACTTGGCTTGTTCTGGTGGTTCTGCCTGTGTAAACAGCTTGACTTTACCAAAATATATACACTTGGTGCCAAGACGTCCATGCAGGTATGTAGCACTGTTGGTCTACTTGCTCCAAGCACCGACAATTTTAACTATAATGAAAAGCAATAACAGTTGCGGCTTCTCCTCCCGCTCTCACCTGGTTACCTGCGGGGTACCCCAAGGATCCATCTTCTTTCTGATCTACATGCTCCCTCTTGGGGATGTCATCCACAGACATGGCGTACATTTTCACATGTATGCAGATGACACCCAACTCTACTTTTCCACCTCTCTTTGCGACCCCCAGTCCCCTGATGTTCTGTCAGCTGCCTGTCAGATCTCAGGGGCTGGATGAGCGCAAACTTCCTTCAGCTGAACGTTGACAAGATGGAAGCCATACTCTTCGGCTCTCGTCAACATCTAAAATCTCAAGGCTCTCACCTCCTCCACCTATCCGACCTCCCCCGAAACCTCTCCGAACCCGTAAGCAACCTAGGCGTCAGGTTCGACTCCCAATTATCCGTCCTCCCCCACATCCGGTCCCTCACCAGCACCGCTTTCTTCCACCTCCGACGCATCACCCGTCTCCGCCAATACCTCTCCCCAAAAGCCGCTGAAACTCTGGTCCATGCCTTTGTCACCTCTCGGCTGGACTATTCAAAATGCCCTCCTTGCCGGTCTCCCATCCACCACCATCCATAAAATCAAACTCATTCAGAACTCTGCCGCCCGCATTCGCATCCGCACGAAACTCCGCTCCCCGATCACCCCAGTCCTTGCCAGACTGCACTGGCTGCCCATCCCAGAGAGGATCGATTTCAAGATCCTCACTCCCGTATTCAACTCCCTGCACTTCTCTGCACCCCCCTACCTCTCTGACCTCCTCTCTCCTCAGCACAATACCCGTTGCCTTTGTTCCTCCGGGTCTGCCCCCCCCCCGCCCCCCGAGTCCTCCGCTCCACCCTCGGCGGCTGTGCCTTCAGCCACTATGCCCCAAGGCTCTGGAACTGCCTTCCTCACTCCCTTCATCTCCCTCCCTTCCCATTTTCAGGTCTCTGCTGAAGACCTTTCTTTTCGACCACGCCTTTGGTCACCTTTCCACCCCTCCCCCTGGCTCGGTCCCAGGATCCTACACTGTAAAGCGCTCTCAAACGCTGTCCGGCGTGGAGGGCACTATATAAATAAGTTGTTGACATAGCATCTTTCACCATTTAGCTTCCAAGGCATTGGGATGTCCTGCCAATGTGAAAGGTGCTATACAAATGTGATTTGTTCCACGTCAAGAGGACATCCCAAATCTCTTTACCGGATTTACTGTAAAGTGTAGTGACCGTGTATTTTGTAGACAACCCATCAAGTTGAATCTCTCCTGGATGCTGGATACAATGAGTAATCAAGATAGTACATGGGAGTTTGAGCTGGGAAAAGTAAAAGTGATTTTACAGTAATAGTTACCTCTGGAAGCAAACCAGTTGTGTAAAAGCAGTATCAGAATTAAAACTTTAAACATTGTCAGGGTTATTTGGGTACAGATCCAGATACTCAATGCATTTATGCAACAGTTCAGAGCTGGAGAGAGATTACAATAGAAATCTTTCAAGAGTCAGTTAATGGGATACAACAGAACTCTTCATATGTGCACTACAGGATATGCTTGACGTTGTGCTGGAGGCCAGTAGTTTGATAATAGAACGGTTAGCCTTGCTGTGCAATAAGAACCAAATACAGATAACCAATACAAACAAACAGTCTGTTCAGCTTGCCACACAGAGATTCAAGTCAAAACAACTTAATAAAGTGCCTAAATAACATGGCAGCGATGTCCTTTCTTAATGTTAATTCGGTCAGGACTTTTTGCCTCAATACTGAAGAAAGTTTGGGTTCAAAACAAATTCTATTGTGGACAGCTCCCAATATTTAGTTCTGGGCGATAACTTTTATTTCTTCTACACTGAAGGCAAGTTTAAAGTAAATATCTTAAATTATTGATAGAAGCCATCAGCTGTTCAGCTGCCATAGTACCAACCGGAATACACAACAAAATATTCATGTAAAGTAGGAGCATTTGTTGAATTGGATTTCTGTTCCCCATCCATCTCATTATCCAGAAGCCCCATTTTAAAATGATTACAACTTCCCTAGTGTATATTGTGGGGAGAAAAAGAAAAGGATTCATGGGGACAAAAAGAAATGGGCCCATATGCACACACAAAAAATAATGCCAGCATTTCACACTGCCTTGGAGATCAAGTTGGAAGCAATCAGAGCCAGAAATGGCTCAATCTGTAAGTACCTGAGCTAGAAAAAGGCTTCTACCAGTTGAGCATGCCTAGCGGGATTTCCTGGCAATGTTCTTTCAAACTTGCCTCTAAACAACTTTGAAGATCTGACAATCTTGAAAGAATGCCACGACAACAATTTGCTCTTACATAGCGCCCTCCACGCAGGGTAGCGTCTCAAGGCGGAAGTAATGGAGGAGTGAAAATGTATTACAGGTCTCTCTGCTAACAAAGAGCCATTGACTTGCTTACCTTTACAAAATTAAGGACTAGATCTTCTCATCCAACCTTCAGTCTCTGTTCACCTGCAATTGAAAATTGCAGGTTAGTATCATCCAAACACACATTTGAACCAGTAGAACTCCTCTGTTGAGGGTAATGCTTCGTTAGGACTTTGTTTGTAAATGTTTCATGTAACTTTAAAATGAAAGCAACAAATACTAACCATTCACTTCAAGGCTGCTGTGTGCAAATTGGTTGCTTCCTTCACCTACAAATACACAGCCCACAGCATTTTGCAGTAAATTCTGTGAAATTGCTTTGAGACATTTTGACAACTTAATAAAGTACTGGATCAAATTCAAAGATGACTAGAGTATTGTTATGTTCTGGTAATGGTAGGGGTGGTTTCTTATCAAAATTAAACTGGATAGAAAGGTGCGATTACGGAAACTCCATCCTCATCGGCCTTCCCAACTTTTCCCTTCACAGGCTGCAGATCATCCAAAACTCTGCAGCTCGTGTACTCCCACCCTCGTCCGACTCCACTGGCTCTCCATCCCCCAGAGGATCGAGTTTAAGATCGTCGTCCTCACTCTCAAGGCCATCCATGGCCCCGATACCTGACTGTTCAGTGCTTTGGGACGTCCTCCCGCTGTGAAGGGCACTCCATAAATGTAATCTTGTTGTTGTTGCTCAGCACAGCTACTGCCCCACTGCCCTCCGTAACATCGCCCGAATCCGCCACTACCTCACCCCTCAGGCCGCTGAAAATCTTGTTCATGCCTTCATCACCTCCAGGCTCAACTATGCAAACGCCCTGCTTGTCGGCCTTCCCAACTCCCCCCTCCACAGGCTGCAGATAATCCAGAACTCTGCAGCCGTGTCCTTTCCCGCACCAAACTCCGTGACCCCATTTCCCCAACTCCATTGGCTCCCTATCCTTCAGAGGATCCAGTTCAGGATCCTGGTTCTCACATACAAAGTCCTCCATAGCCTCACCCCACCCTACCTCTGCGACCTCCTAACTCCCTACCAACCCACCCGCTCCCTCCGCTCAGCCGGCTCTGGCCTGCTCCACGTCCCCCGACCCACCTGCCCCACCATTGGCGGGAGACACTTCAGCCACTCTGCCCCCAACCTCTGGAATTCCATCCAATCACTCTGCCTTGCCCTCCCCTTAGCCTCCTTCAAATCCCACCTCAAGACCCTCCTCTCATGCCATCGGCCGCCCCCCTTCCCCTCCTGACCTCAGCTCGGGTCTGAATTGCTATACACTGTCCAGCGCCTTGGGACGTCCTCCCGACGTGAAATGCGCTATACAAATGTAATCTTGTTGCTGTTGTTGCCCCCTCCTACCTCTGACCTGCTGGCTCCCTACCAACCTGCCTGCTCCCTCCGTTCAGTGGGTCCGGTCTGCTCTATGTCTCCTGCCCAACCCGCCCTAGCATCGGTGGCCGGGCTTTCAGCTTCTCTGCCCCCACACTCTGGAACTCCATCCCAGGGTCTCTTCGCCTTGCTTCCTCCCTTGCCTCCTTCAAGGCCGGTCTCAAGACCCTTCTCTTCGATCGTGTGTTTGGTCTCCCTTCCACCTCTCTGCCTTCCCTCACCCCTACACCACCCCTCCCCCATGCTCAGGCCCCGACATCTGACCATTCAGCGCTTTGGGACGTTCTCTCGACGTGAAAGGAGCTCTATAAATGTAATTTTGTTGTTGTTGTTTACAGTAAAATACACATAAGATGCATCAGTCAGGATCATAATACGATTTACGCAAAGTGAGTTATAGGCAAAGTTGCATAAATCGTATCATCTAATATACAATTTAATCAATAATCTACACTGCGCATGCGTACTTCAAAGCAGCCAGTAAGGGCGCATGCAGTGACGGGTCAAGACTTTACATCCTGTGATTCAATGTACTAGTAAATGCGGTAGCTGCATTATGAGTTAGGCGATGATTTTCAGTAGAATTTAGGATGGATTTGGACCCAAGAAACGATTACGATTTAGCCATTAGGTCTGATTTATAAAATACGACCAGTACAAAGAAATCTAAAGTTTTTTTTGGTAGGAAACTGAATGGGACAAGGGTGCATGTACAATTTATAAAGAGAAGACTTATATGAGTTCTACTCTATATATTTCACCTGTTAAGCGTGAACATCTTAGAATAATCTCCTGCTGAGCTACTTCTGTTTTCAACATAGACTCCCACTGACATCTCCAATCATTCTGTTTGAATTTGGGCTGTGTGCTGGAGCAAAGAAGGTTTAAGCAGGATCTGACAGAGGTTTTTAACCTTGTGGGTAATTTTAATTATGTAAATAAATGATCCTTGCATTTGATATCGCGCTTTTTAAGTCTTCTCGATGTCTCAAAGCGCTTCACAGAATAGACTGTAAAGTGAATTGACCATATATTGGTGGACAAAACGCGGCAGCCAATTGCGCACAGCAGTGCCCCACGAACAGTTGTGGTTTGAAAATGACCAATTTATTATTGTTTTGTTTTGGAGGGATTGTTACTAGGGGTGTGGAGTAAGGAAACTTGCCCAAGGTTTCGCCCTCTGCCTGGAATTGAACCCAGGTCTCTCACTTGCAAGGCGAGTGCTCTAATCACTGAGCTATAGGACTATATTATATATAATAATTTAATTGGGTAAATAGAGACAATTTTCATTGATCTAAAAGTCAGCAACTAGAAGGCATCAACTTAGGCTCATCAGAAGAAGAAAAAGGAGCAAGAATGATTTTTACACATGTTCTAACAATTTTACAGTTGATATGAAGTTGAATGGAGTCCATAAAAGGTTAGAGGTTTTCTCCCCCTTTGCAGTTACACCACGATAGTTAAAAGATTTTTTTTATTTTAAAAGCAAGGATTAAATTACTTCCAAATTGCAACCTTTAGTTTCCTAAAGTAGAAAGGCTTCACGTTATTTTAAGAGGAAGACTCCAATTTAGCATTTCAGCAGTCACTCAATTTTCAAACTACATTTGAACCTCTGCTATTATATAGTGAAATATTTCTGTGCAGCAAATACTGTGAGCTACATGAAAAACCCTTGAAACAAATAGTTCACAACAATGACCTCTATTCATGCTCTTGCGACTTGTAGCCAGTAGTGCCAGCAAACAATTACATATTTATACTTTTAATTTTTAGCATTATTGTTATGATCTGATGCCTAGAAACAAATTCTGGGCATTCAAAAACAAAGTCACTTGCATAATCTCATCTCAAATCTATGACACTACTGTAAAGTATAAATAGATTGAGTCACATTGAAGGAATACAGCCTTTCGCCACATTACAACCACATTCCACTTTCTATTATTGGAAACAAGGGTTTGTAACTGGATATACAAGTCCAATAATTATTTTCCCGTCAGAATGTAGGTGAAGGACCAAGCTATCAGTGCAGTCAGTACATTACCAAATTTGAATGTTTAAAACAGATACTGGATCAGCCAAGTCATAGTTGAGTGAAGCCAATCTTAGAAAAAAATATAGATTTTATGAAGAAGAGAAAAGCAAGTTTCATATTCTTGAGGTCCTGGAAAATAATGCATTAGAAGCAAGAGAGAGAGATCCAATATTAACAGCGCGAGAATGCAGGGAGTGTGTAGTGTGCTTAGAAAGAATGAGAACTAAGTTTGGAGGAGCAATGATTATATAGCCGTATTAGTAAAAATTTTGAAGACATCTTGTATCCTGTCCAGATGGACAAGATAGAATATGAGAACAATATTCAAGTCTTGCTGGGTAAACAGGCTTTAGCTGTTGAGGAAAAANTAGTTTTCATGAATGCCTCTTCGAGGTTACTTAGTAATTAATATTAACATAATTTTATTGTTAGAGATCACAAACAGGAATGAAATATAGAATATAGAAACAGGAATAAGATATTCAGCTCCTTGAGCCTGTTCCGCCATTCTATATGGCTAATCTGTACCTCAAGACTAATTACCCGCCCCAACCCCGTATCCCTCAATACCCTGACCTAACAGATATCTATCCTCCTCAGTCTTGAAGATGTGAATGGATCCAGCATCCACAGCCTTTTGTGAAGGATGGCATGGAGTGATTTGAAAGAAGTTAATGAATCTGGAATGGAATCATTTGCAAAAAAAATGTACTGTATAGTTTAGTGACATGGAGAAAGAACAACGTGGGAGAGATAAAGAGCCTTGGTAAACCCCTGAGGTAAAGAAAACAGTCAGAGGATGAACGAAGAGACAAAAAAAAAATCAACACAACACAAATGCAAGGAGGACAGCTGCAACAGGGGACCAAATGTTCCATGTGGGATGTGCACATCTTTCCTTCCCCTCCCTTTCCACCACAAAATGTTGTAATGTCCAAAATGTATAAGGCAGACACATTGATCTGTGGCGGAACAGAAAATACTGTAAATCCACTGCAGGCCAGTCAGCGTTTGCAAAGAAAATATGTTAGATTTAACTTGCGCTATGACCTTTCATTTACAACACTGAACGGTCAATAGCTTGCAAGTCCAACAAAAATCTGCATTAAAACCGATGAATAAGTTTAGCACTCTGATTACCAACTAAATAAACAGTGGAGCCTTTAACTGTACAAACCTGCTCCTTAATGCCACCGTCTCCTCCTAAACATAATCAAATGCTAAAGTAATAGTGGGTTACCAGTGTGTAATTCTTCACTGCCCACAATGCATTTTGCTTTCCTAAACTTTTGCCAAGATGTTATCAGCGTGCAAGACCATCTGGTTTGTATTTGCTGTCACCCGAGGAATCTAATTGAACACAGACCCTCTGCCATCATTTTCCTTATCCTGTTTATGTAGTTATTCCACTCGCTACCCTTCCTCACACTGGAGTGTTGGATCACAAAACATCCCAGTTCCTGGTATAAAGGCCAGACGAGTGCTCCATAATCTGTCAAACAGCATTCTATATGCTGCCATGTTCCAATTTCCTGTTCGTGTGATCTAAATATTTTATTGTACACTATAATGGAATAAAAGATATGACACTGCATTGGCACAGAATAATCAGTCATCTTAATAAGTTACTGTAAATAGAATTAAAACCTGATTCAC